GGTGGCCCGTACGGGGAACTTCTGAAGCTTGGAGGTAAGTGAAATTGCTTGCCCCTGAGGAAGAGCGAAAGAATGGGTGACCAATTCAAAAAACAATATGCTCTTGTTTTGATTTATTTTGTTTTTATTTCAAGTTGCCTGTTCCTAGAACTTTCTCAGGCAAACTGGGGAAAATGGTTGACTCAAGGTTTGAAGTTGTTCACCTCCGAGCAAGAGAAATTGTTAGAGGAAGGAGGCACCCCAGTGATACCAAGAACAATTAGGGCATATGTTGATACAATACAAAAATGTAGCCCATGGCTTTTTAAAGACGAGTTATTAAGTATATCAATGGGACCACCATGGTATCCTGTAGAAGGATTTTTCTTCAACAAGAAAGAGATGGCTAGTTCTGTTTGCTACACTTGTCTAAGATCTTGGTTTCTACAAAGTTCTGATTAATTTACAAAGCTAAAATGTTGAAACATCAACCACTCTTTACTTATTAAGTTCCATAAGGTAATATATTTAAACATTATGTGTGTTTTCCTAAATTGGTAAATGGAAAAATGTTTAATATTGCTTTGGTCTGTGTCTTTGCTGAAACAAGGTTACTAAGTGTTAAGATTCTATCATGTGTAATTTATATACAAAGAGTAGAAAAATTTTCAATTGGGTTTCAATTATAGTATTATAGGATCATAAAAACATGGAAGTTTTTCATCTTATTAAAGTGGAGTAATTTATCTAAATCAGAAATTTTATAAGAGTTGTTTCAAAATGCGAATTTATATAAAGGGTTAATGGTTAAAAAAGAGATAGAAAAAGATTCAAGATGTGGAAATATATTTTTATATAAAAGGTTAAAAGAAAAAGAAATGTTTCTAGATGAGATAATCTCTGTGTGGTAAAGTAAAAAGTTGTAAAATGCCATTTAAAAAGATTTTGAGGAAACTAGACTTACTTTAAAAGCTTGAGAAAGGAAGAAAGAAGAAAAAGGTATTTGTACATGGCAGATTGAGACAAAGCTTCTCAATGGAGTTAAAAAAAAAAAGCCTTTGGTTGAAGGGCAGCCATGTAAACTAACATTAAAGCGATTTAAATAGAATCTAAGCCTCGTTTAAAAGAGTGAAGTTGTAGGTGGTGAAAAAGTACATTTAAAGTACAGTATAGATGATAATTAAAAGGCTTAAAAGGTTAAATTGAAGATGGTTAAAATGCCTTCATGATGGAGGAAAAAGGCTTAATCTTAAAGGCATTACTTTAAAAAAATGGGAAGATAACAGGATAAAAGATATTTAGATAAAGAAGATTAAAAATTTAAAGTGAAAAACTTTAAAGACAGAAGTATAGAAAGTTAAAAAGAATAAAGATAAAAAAGATGTAGAAAGATAAAAAATGTAGGAAGACAAGAATTTTAAACCCACAAAATAGGAAAAAAAAAACTAGGAGGAAAATAAGCAACTAAGGGTAAAAATACAAACCTTAGGGGAAAAAAAAAAAAACTAAAAGATAGAAATAAGATAGAAAATGGATGAAAGTGTCAAGTAAGGTATTACACAGATAGAAAATGCAAAAAGCTAAGACAACTATTAGATACAGACATACTTATTAAAACAAAAAGAGGGAATCGGAAGGGGGTATATATCCCCCAAAGATAAACTTAAAATAACGCTTTTTACTCTAAACTTTTTAAATTTGGATTCATCAGGACTTAGTGCTGCGGAAAGGCATATGTATCCAAAAAATGTACATAAGCCTAAGGTACTTTGGAAAGATATTCTAACAGGACAATGGAAAGGTCCTGACCCAGTGATTGTCTGGAGTCGGGTCTGTTTGTGTTTTTCCACAGGGAGAACAGCAGCCCATTTGGATTCCAGAGAGATTAACTAAAACAATTTCTACAGATTGAAAAGAAGATGATTTGACTCAAATCCATAACAGCTGATATCCAGAGCTCCAGCTTGGCCATTCTTACATCTGCGATAGTGATTAACCAGTGATGCAATTTTTACTTCCTTGCCAGCGCACCCCATGTTAGTTGTGGTAGTGCTGGCATATCTTTGCTGATGGTGTCACCAGTGATGCAATTTTTCCCAAGGAGCCGTCAATTGGCTTGGTGTCGTGGCATTTCTGTATCCTCCTCCCTTCTGCTAGTGATGGTCTAAAATTTGGGGGCCAATGGCTTATGCTGGACCGGTAGTCAGTGACGGGTATGATCCAATTGCAGTGGTATCAACCTAAGACAGGAGGCTGACGCCTAAAGGTCAGTTTTCCGATGACGGGTAAGAACCATATGTTGAATTGGACAACCTACCAGGCACGGTCCATAAGCCACATTAACCTCACTCCCCCACTGGCACCAAGGCCAAATTTGGGGGCCAACAGAGGTGAGGCAAAGAACCTCACCCCCCCACTGGTGCATAGACCTATCCACAAGTATGGCTGTATGCTGGACCGGTAGTCAGTGACGGGTATGATTCAATTGCAGTGGTATCAACCTAAGACAGGAGGCTGACGCCTAAAGGTCAGTTTTCCGATGACGGGTAAGAACCATATGTTGAATTGGACAACCTACCAGGCACGGTCCTTAAGCCACATTGCTTGTTGTTTAATTAATCAGAAGGGGGGAGATGCTGGGAGCCATTAGCCAAGTAAGTATGACAATTTCCTTGCCAGCGTACCCCATGTTGCAGTGACATTGAATGTAAGTGACCTTGCTCAAGGACCAAGGCAGATTAGGGTGTTCCCGGTTTTAAGATAATCTTGTTTAGGGCGTTCCCAGTTTAGGTTCCAGGTTTAAGGTTTAAGATTATTCCTGCTGGGAATAGGGCGTATCCTGCTGCCTGAGTTCCCCTTGAGTTCTCACGGGATTCAGACAGTATATTTTTGGAGATAGAAGCCCAGTGGAGGATTTTTGGGAGAGAAGGTGAATTTGGGCAGAGAACGTGGATTTGGGCAGAGAACGTGGATTTGGGCAGAGAACGTGGATTTGGGAAGAGAACGTGGATTTCCCCAGAACGTGTTTGTAGACGGCTGGTGTGAGTTCGGGAATAAAGAGTTGCTGTTTGAATCTACAAGCTGTGTGGTGGCTCGTGATTGTGTGCCCAGCCAGACTGCGGCATTTGTGCCCAGCCAGACTGTGGCATACCAACACTTGGTATTTTTTATTTTTTAATTTTTTTCAACTTAGCCATTCTGGCACATGTGTAATAGGAACATGTTATGGTTTAAAAACTGCATTTCCCTGCTGATTAATGAATATAATAAGTACCTTTTCCTGTGTTTATTGGCCATTTGGATAACCTTGTTTAGGAATGCCTGCTTATGTGTTTTTCCACATTTGTATTCAGTTGTCTGACTTTTCTTACTGACTTATAGGGATTCTTTATAAATCCTGGAAAAAGTCCTTCATGAGATAAATATATCATAAATATTTTTTCTACTCTGAATTTACCTTTTCATTCTTTCAATGATATCTTCAGTGAATAAAAATTCTTTTTTTTTAATTTATTTTTTAGTTTTTGATGGACACAACATCTTTATTTTATTTTTATGTGGTGCTGAGGATCGAACCCAGCGCCTCGCACATGCCAGGCGAGCACATTACCACTTTAGCCACATCCCCAGCCCTGAATAAAAATTCTTTAAAGTGCTTTTGCCAGGCACCTTATTGCATAACTGTGATCTCAGCTATTCAGGAGACTGAGGTAGAGGATCATAAGTTTGAGGCCAGCCTCAGCAGCTCAGCTAGACTCTGTCTCAAAATGAAAATAAAAACAAAGGTACTGGAGATACAGCTCAGTAGTAAAGCATCCTGGAACCAGTCCCTAGCACCATCCCCCCAAAAAAGCCGGGCATGGTGGCTCACATCTGTAATCCCAGAGGCTGTAGCAGGAGGATCAAGAGTTCAGAGCCAGCCTCAGCAAAAGCAATGCACTAAGTAACTCAGTGAGACCCTGTCTCTAAATAAAACACAAAATAGGGCTGGGGATGTGGCTCATGGCCAATTGGCCTGGAGTTCAACCCCTGGTGCCCCCCAAGAATAAAAATATTTAAAAAATAAAGAGGTCTTGGAGCCAGGCATGGTGGCACACACTTGTAATCCCAGTGACTCCAAAGGTCGAGGCAGGAGGATCACAAGTTCAAAGCTAGCCTCAGCATCTTAGTGAGACCCTGTCTCTAAAAAATAAAATGGGCTGAGATGTGTGTCTGTGGTGGAACACCCCTGGGTTCAATCTCCAGGACCAAAAAAAAAAGAAAGAAAATCCTATTCAGTGAAGTAATTCTTAATAGTGTCTTATTTATATCATATACATATATTCTTATTAAACCATTTCCTAGTATATCATAGACATTTTACTCATAAGTATTTCAGCATACATCTTCGTGTTGCTGGGGCTACAGGTGCCCACCACTGTGCCCAGCTAATAATTTCCTAATTTTTAATCCAGTCAGATTTGCTTGCATGCTCTCCAAATATCTTTTGTTGCCGTGGGAGGTTTTGTTTGTTTGTTTCTCAAAACAAGATTCATTCAAAGATCATATGTCGAATTTACTTTTTGTCTTTTCTTAATGTTGAATCACCTCCCCTCTTTTCATAAGTGAAATTGCCTTCTTTTTTTTTTTTTTCTCTTGGTGCTCAGGATTGATCTCAGGGCCTTTATCTCCTGAACTTCCTGTTAACTGGGACATAGATCTAGACTTGATAAGATGTACCTGAACTTATCTCACTAAACCTTCCTGGGGACTGCATCTCTGGTGGCCCTTCTCAGAGATGAGCAAGGCCAGCAGGTGTGTGAGCAGCTGTGTTAAATGTCAGCAGAGTGCCTCGTGCGTGAGAAACCTCGGGACCTAGTAGCAGCTCTTCATATTTGTCCCTGCCTTAGGCCAGGGACAGATACACCTTCATTTGTTCCTGGGAAACAGTTTCCCTGAGGCTTCTCCTGTTGCAACCAGGCGGCAGGGTCCTGCCCTGGGCTGCCTGGGTATCCCCTACCTCTCTCTCTTCTTGCCCTCAGACAACACAGGCAGTTCCACATACCGGCCGCCCCCTCGGACACGGGAGGTGATGATCAATGGGCAGATGGTGAAGCTGAAGTATTGCTTCACCTGCAAGATGTTTCGGCCACCCCGGACCTCACACTGCAGCGTCTGCGACAACTGTGTGGGTGAGTGGGAGGCCTCAGGGAGGATGCAGGGGTGCCTGAGACAGACTGAGTCATGGGACAGGAGGTCTTGTGTAGAGCAAGGTGGGTAGTGTCTTAAATACTCAGGGCTGGGCAGGAAGTCTGGTTTGCTCAGGTTTGCTCTGGGTGTGACCAATGGCATTAGGATCAGTAGGTCCCTTAACCCCCAGCTCTGAAGTGTGGAGCAGATAGAGAGACCTTGAACACTTCTCCTGGCTTCAGCTGGTCTTCAGTACTCCAGCTTCTCAGCCTGGAGCAGTAATATTCCAGATATGTTCAGACCAGAAAGAGAATGGTTTACCACCCAGTGGCCAGAAGTACTGTAGATGTTGCTCTGGTTTCCAGGTTGGGGAGGGTCAAGAATCAAGCTGGTAGCTGGATGCGGTGGCACATGCCTATAATCCCAGCGGCTCGGGAAGCTGAGGCAGAAGGATCAAGGCAGCCTCAGCAACAAGGAGGCACTAAGCAACTCAGACTCTGTCTCTAAATAAAATACAAAATAGGGCTGCGGATGTGGCTCAGTGGTCCAATGCCCTGAGTTCAATCCCTGGTACCATGCCCGCCCCGCCCCCAACCTGCCAAAAAAAACAAAAAACAAAAAAACAGAATCAGGCCAATGAAGTGGTGAGGATAGATCTGGGGCTGGAAACTGGACTCCTGACCCACACTTTAGTGCTTGCTTTGCCTCCTGGCCCTGCTCTTCAGAGGCATGCAGCTCTGATGGGACCTCACTAGGTCCATAAGGGAGGGTGCCATAAGGGAGACACTTCGTGAGGACCCAGGTGAGCTGAGCCATGGTGACAGTGCACAGTTCTCAGGGCAGTGAGCTCATTGTGCCAGCTCAGCATGTCCCACGTGGGAGAGCAATGAGGAACACCCATGACGGCAGGCAGCAGAGGGGTTGACTCAGTGGGTGTCATTTGCCCCTGAAAGTCTGCCCCACCCGACTCCTGTAAGGGCACTAGTCTTGGCCTGAAGCCTGCAACGGGCTTGTGACCCAAATTCCCACAGGGACTTTCTTCACCAGTCTGGGTGTGGCCCACCCCCAGGGACATAGCACTGGTGTGAGCTCAGCCCTGGCCCAGATGCCTGCTCTCCATGAGTTACATAGCGGCCCGGCCCCTCCCTGAACCTCTAGTCCTAGAGCAGGGGACAGGATCATTGGCTGTTGGCATATGGCTGGGGTAGCAGGTCAGGCAGCATGTACTTTTTGTGGGTCATTGTCCCAGGGACAATGGTGGACCCTGGGGATTCAGCCACTGTATGAGGAGGCCACCACAGTCCCTCTCGGGGGGCTCATGATCAAGCAGGGACAGTTGGTCAGTCCAGTGATCATGAGCAAGTATCTGAACACACACGGGCCCAGTGCAGTCAAGAGGAGCAACAGAGCAGACCACAGGGGACCTCCACCATCTGGGGTCTGAGGGGACTTTTTAAAGAAGTGGATTTGCAGCTGAGGCATGAAGGAGACATCACTGCTCACCAAGAAGAGAGGGAAGAACGTGTCCAGCAGTGGGAACCAGTGCGGGGCAGGCCCAAAGCCAGGCATGTCCGAGGCCTGGAGCCTGCTGGTGCGGAGAGGGCAGGGGTTGAGAGCCCTGGTCCAGGATGAGAACTCTAGACTCCTATGCTGGTCAAGGCCAGATTCATACTAACCCGTCCCCTTGGCCCTTTTCTAGAACGGTTTGACCATCACTGCCCCTGGGTGGGCAACTGTGTGGGGAGACGGAACTACCGCTTCTTCTATGCGTTTATTCTCTCCCTCTCCTTCCTGACGGCCTTCATCTTCGCCTGCGTGGTCACTCACCTGACGCTGCGTAAGTTGTAGGGAAGGGCCGGGGAGCAGCAGGTCTGAGCAGCAAGCTCAGTGAGGACACCACCCCTCTGAGCTGTGTCTTTTGTTTCTTCCTCCCCAGGCTCTCAGAGAAGCAACTTCCTCTCCACTCTGAAGGAGACACCAGCAAGATATCCTTTGTCAGATAGTGGATACCCAGGTGGAAAATAAGTCCCTGCACTAGGGCAAGTCCCCACAGGGGACAGTAGAGCCTGTATCTGGCCTCTAGAATCCCATGCACCAGCTGCCTCTGTTCACACCAGGCTTGGGCTCATCCTAAATAGGGCATCTTGGGGCTGAGCTGGCTGAGAACTCCCAGGAGGCCCTATCCACTGTCTTCAGGGGCCTGGAAGAAAGCACACTGAGCTCCCTGGACTGGGGTATGTCTGAGGCTCCATATCTGGGAGCCTCGGTTCCCCCTGCTGTCCATCACCCCAATCTGGTCTTGTTCTGGTGGGGAATTCCCTACTCCTCCTGGGAACCCAGGAGGTGATCCCGCTGAGAAGTGGTGACTGGGCCACAGGAAGGTTCCAAAACTTGTCACCTGTCTGGGAAATAACTCCAGAGAAGGATATTGAGAAAAGAGAATTGTGGCAAGCTCCCAGGCCCAGAGAGGCTCCTACCCTCCTCCACCCCATGCATGATGTCCTTGACTGTCCCACTGTGCTGGAGTTGGTGATCTGCTTCTTCTCCATCTGGTCCATTCTGGGCCTCTCAGGGTTTCACACTTACCTCGTCGCCTCCAACCTGACAACTAATGAAGATGTGAGTAAGGCTGAAGCTGGGCTGGGGGAGCTGGGGTGGCCAAGGGCAGCCCTGCTGGCAGACTGCTGGGGGAGAGGGTGGAGGTAGAGGGCAGCCAGACATGCTCCCTGGCCCCCGAGCAGGCTCCTGAGATCCCAGCATGCTCTGGCCTCTCAGTGCAGCCTACTAAGGTCCCCAAGTTGTTCTCAGAGCTCTGTGAAGGCAGCACTCATGCCGGGGTACTCATGACTAGCCAGTGTGTGGCCACTTACAGAGTTCCTGAAGTTCCCATCATCTCTTTGGGTCCCTTTGCCTAGCCCAAGCACAAGCACAGGGATGCTTTTATCCATTGGATGGCTGAGAGATATGCCTCAGGGTCACAAGCTGGGAAGGTGCAGAGCCAGAGTTGGTGCCCAGAAGCCACATCTGTGCTAGCTGTGCTCTGCCGCACTGCACCTGTAGGCAGCAGCTCTGTGACTGCTACTCCCTGAGGCATTCTTTCTGAGAGCTGCAGAAGGAGAGGACCGTGGGGCTCTACTGTCCCTCCCTACCTAGGGCCAGTCCTGATCTCTCCTCCCCACGCTCCAAACAATAAAAAGCAAACCTGAGCATATGTTCCCTGGTTCACCATCTGGTACTGATCAGAGACCATTATCCAAAGAAAATACATTCCATGACCTCGGCATCTCACTTGGGGAAACAAAATTTAACATGCATGACAGGGTGTCCTGTGCTTGATAATTGGCAAGAGCAGAAGTGACATCAGCCACCATGTCCCAGAGTGGTTTCCTGGGTGCTGGTTCTGTAGGGTAGTTCCAGAGCTTAAGCAAAAGGGCAGCTATGGCACAATGAGACTAGAAATGTCTGGGTTTTACCTAGGTGGGTCTTTCCCAGTGCCTTTAATAGCTGACTTCACAGAGCTAGAGATCAGCCAGATTTTGTCTAATGATTCACTAGTCTGAGAATTAGTAGTATTATCTGACAATTAGTATTATTGTCCCTATTTTTCATATGGTGACAGACTGAGAATAATCTGTCCAGGGTTGTGTAGCTAGTGAGTGGCAGGGCCAGGGTTCACAGCCAGGTCAGCCTGAGCCCTGTGCATTAAATACTGTCCTTCCTCTTGGGTGGCTACCCAGAGCAGGGAGAGATTGACCCACAAACTTTTCTCTGGAGATTTCTCTTTGATTCTATTGTCTTCTGTCCTCCTTAAAGCCTCTGATCTCTGCTGGGGATCTCTGACATCTGATGGTCTCCCACATTGTCATTGAATGACCTGGGTTAAAGACCTGTTCCCTCTAATACTTCAGTCAGAACTGGCTTCAGAGTTGGTAAACTTTCCCCAGCCTCTAGAAGAGTGAAACCAAGCCAGGCATGCACACCTGTAATTTCAGCTACTTGGGATGCTGAGGCAGGAAGGTCACAAATTTGAGCCTAGCCTCATCAGCTTAGCAAGAGCCTCAGCAACTCAGTGAGAGCCTATCTCAAAATAAAAAATAAAAAGGACTGGGAATGTAGTTCAGCAGTAAAGCACCCCTGGGTTCAACCTCCAGTATAAAAAAAAAATAGGAAAGAAAGACAAATGGACCCAAAAAAGATAGCTGGGGGTCGGGGGGGGGGCAGTGTAGCTCAGTGGTAGGTTGCCTGCCTTGCACTTGTGAGGTACTGGGTTCAATCCTCAGCACCACAAAAAATAAATAAAGATATTGTGTCCATCTATAACTAAAAAAAATTTTGAAAAAAAAAAAAAAAGATAGCTGAGGGGTTTAGCTCAGTGGTAAGGCACTTGTCTAGCACTGCATGAGGCCCTGGCTCCAATCTCCAGTACTGAGGGGGGGGAAAAGAAAAAAGGTAAGGGGAGGAATTTAGGGTAAAGTGTGTACTTAACATGCACAAGGCCCTGGGTTCAAACTCCAGCACCATGTTTAAAAAAGGAAGGTAGAGCTGACCCAGGCTTCCTTCATGCTTGCAGATCAAAGGCTCGTGGTCCAGCAAGAGGGGCGGTGAGGCCTCTGTCAACCCCTACAGCCATAAAAGTATTATCACCAACTGCTGTGCTGTGCTCTGTGGCCCCCTACCTCCCAGGTAAGCCACAGGGTGCAGAGAGAGGTCCCATGGAGGGTGGCACATCCTCACAGAGGTCCTGGACCTCAGCAGACCTCTCTCTACACTACAGACCTCTGCCCACTGCTCCATGCAGAGTGCATTCTGGATTTGTCATGTAAAGAGATTCTGTGCAAGTTTGTCATTTTTAGTCACTTGAGCTCATTGTAGGAAAAAATTAAGTACAAAATATTAAGGACTATTAGATATTACATATAATCTTACCCCCTCAGGGATCATCACAGGGACTGTTGTGGCCACACTTGAGCAACCCTGCCATTCCAGCTGGTGCTGGGTGGGGTGTCTACCCTCTCCTGGCAGAAGGGAACCCTGGTGGCTCAGCCCTGCCAGGAAGTTTCCTGTCCATCATGACACCAGGGGGCACCAGAGCTCCAGAACAGGAGTTAAATTGCCAAAGACACTGCTAGGACTAGACCTCCCCTTGTGGTCCTGTGCCCTCTCCTGTCCCTGCAACCCCTGGTCCCACCCAGTGTTCCTGTGACCTGTCCTGCCTGGTGGAGAAGGGACAGTAGGAATTTCACTATTTCCAAATGCTTATTTTTCACTTTTCCCTTAACCTGCAGCCTGGCTTCTTGTTAGCCAATCAGACAGGTGGGTCAGTTTGAATTGACAGTGAATAAATCTTGTGGCCAGAAGCTAGGTGTCCAGAGACAGAGAGAGTGTCTTAGCCCCGGATGGAGAGCAGCCTCCTTTTCCTCAGCCTTGCTAGGATCAGTCTTTCCCTGGCCAAGAGTCGGACTCTGCCATCTAGCTCCTGGCCTGGAGCTTTGGCATTGGACACGGTCCTCATGTATCATTGTGCCCTTGTGTTTTGGAAGCCTGATTGACCGGAGGGGATTTGTGCAGTCTGATACCGTGTTGCCCTCGCCCATCAGAAGCGATGAGCCAGCCTGTGGAGCCAAGCCAGATGCCAGCATGGTAGGAGGCCACCCTTGAACACGGCTCAGTACTTGCCACCTGCTGGCCTGTCCACCCCTCCGTATTCGCCTGCCGCCCTCCACACCTGCTGGGACCCTCCCCATTCCATCCAAGGGAAGCAGAGCTGCCAAAGACTGGTGTCTTTTCATATTTATTTTCCACTCTGCGTGGCTTTTCCCGAACCGTTCCATGGCTGTACCCCCTGCTCCCCAAACCCAGGTTCCCAGAGCCATGGGCCCTAGGTCTCTCAGCTGATCAGTGGCAGGAATGACAGGAGAGCCAGAGCCTCTGGAGGCCATCAAGGGGACCATGCCAAGTCTCTGCCTGTGCCAGGGCGAGCCCTGTGTGAGTGAAGGTGTGAGCTGAGTGTGAAGCCTCCCAGGTGGGGCACTGCCTGGGCCTTGCTGAGCTGGGGCCTCTGGTGAGACAGGACTGTTGAGCAGCCAGCTCTGGACCTCAGGCCACAGAGAGGATGTGCCAGTGGGCTGCTTTGGTGTGGGGGCTCCTGCATTCTCTTTATGATGATCATTGTTCTTTCTACTATTGGGTTTTTGGTCTTTTTGTTTTTTTTGTTTGTTTGGAGTTGACCAATAGGATGGGTTCCACGGGGGTAGGGGGAAGCCAGCCAGGCAGCCAGAACCTTAGCTCCTGTAGAGTCCTGAGCAGCACATAGGAAAGGGGTCCTGGCCCTTCCCCCGCCTGTGGAGGCTCTCTAAAGGATCCCAGGCTACCCCACTATGTCTCTCGCAAGTCAGGGCTGGGGATAGACGGGTTATTCTCATGCTGGCAATACTTGAAATGGGTTTATTATTGCTGGGTATTTTGCACAATTTTATAGACCTCTTTTCTACATAGTCTTTTTTAAATGATGTGTAGTGCAAGGTGAAGGGTTATCGGAAGCCTAGTTCATTTTAATAAGTTTGTTACAAGAGACCTTCTGTCTGTGAATGTGTGTGTATGCGCGTGTGTTCATGTGTGCCCTTGTATGAGTGTGGCTGGCTCCCACATCCGCTGGGCTGCCCCTTTTCCCTGTCCCCCTTGATTCAGGAGCAACTTAAGCCATGGGGCAGGGAACATGTGTGTTGGTCACAAGAGCCCCCTGGCCTCCCATTGGGGCTCAGACCCCATCCTCTTTAAAGGCAGGAGCTGGGGACTCTGCCGCCACTTCCCTTGCCACCCAGCCTCCAGGTTAGGCTTCCAGCTAAGATCTGCCCAGACAGGCTGTGGCCGGGCGTGGTGGGTGGGGTGATGGCTTTGGGGAGCGGCTGCCATTCATCCCACAAGCCACACCTCCTCCCCAGAGCTCTGAGTATGGAACCCAGTGCCAGGGACTAGAGGACAAGGTGTTTCTGCCAACTGGGGGCTTCGGTCCAGAGAATAGGAAGGAAGGAGCAGGATGGGCCAGAAGCTCAGAGGATGTCCCTCCTTTGCCAGAAGCTGTAGTTTCTTATAAAAATAGAGAATTACCCCCAGACTCCTTCTTGGCCCTTCAAGTGGGCCAAAGCCCTTGAAAAGTGACATAGGAAGTCATTAGATCTTGTCCTTCCTTGCTCCAGAGACCGGTGGGTCACAGAGCTGGGAAGTGGTCACAGCAGAGGGCCCTTCTGGGAGAACCAGCTCCGCCCAGCCTCAGGACCCTGGGCCCTCATGCAGTGGCCCTGTGGGGTGGGGAGGAGACTGGTTGGAAGAGGGGGCTCCCACCTGCCTTTTATTTAAGCCAGTATTCTTCTTTGATTCTGCTTGTAATAAAACTTTTGTTTTTAAGAGTTGATTTGCTTTGGTTTGGTTTTTGTTTGCTTTTCCTTTGCTGAGGCCCCAGCTGGCAGCCTTGGGTTCTTTCAGACAAACTTGTCTTTCCTGGGGAGACAGAAAGATCTGACTGAACGGTCTGGCTGAAGTTCCCCTCATGGAGCTCTGTCTGTGGGAGGCAGAGTAAAGGAGGAGGCTGTGACTAAGCCACCTTGTCCCCTCTTCACCCCCTCCCCTTCCCCTGCCTCAGAGGCTTGGAGCCCTCTTGACTGCTTGGCTAAGGAAATGTTGGAGAGTCCAGTTTGTGAGCAGAGCCTCCCACCTGGGTGGTAGGGCCCAGCCAGACAACTCATAACACTGGCCCACCTCTCTGGTATCTCCCCCAGGAGGACACCTGTCAGGATTTTGCCATCTCCTGCACAGCCTGAGGGGGCTAACAGGCCTCTTTGCAGAGGGTTAGCTGGTAAGACCGTATCTCGCCTGGCGGCCAGCACTGCCCGCTCCCCTCACACACCATTTCATCCTCACCGCATGCCTCGCCAACCCCATGGAGCCCATCCATCTGTCTGTATGTGGTGCGGTGTGTGTGCTAGTGGTGGTAGGTCCCCAGGGCTCCCCTCAAGCGGAAGGATCTTAGTCCTGCCCTAGGCTGGACTGAGAAAGTGGCTTCTCTCAGAGCAGCTGTCCTGCTGGAAGAGGAGGTGAAGGGTGAGGTTGGGGAGGATGGGGCACCTGCTCTGAGGTGCCTGGACCTGTTATGGTAGTGTCCTGATGTGCAGGGTCCCTTGGTCACCAACACTCCTGGTCCTGGCTTTCTGTCCCTGCTGAGCTTTCTCTCACCTGCCTGTTTCTCTCCTGCTTCTTTGCCTGCTGCTCAAGCCCTGGCCCTTCTCTAATGGAAAGGCAGGCACTGTGGCAGACCCTGTCCCCACTGTGGGCCCCTTAGGTCACCTCTCTCCTCCCTTCCCCTGCTAACCCTCTCTCTTCTCCTTCTTTGCCATCCTGCCTGGGATCTCCAGTGTGTGCAGGGGCTTAAGGACCTCCTGAGGACCGCTGCTCTCTGCCTCTCCAGGAGTGGCCTGGGGGGAGCCAGGCACCCGGCACCTCCACCTGCCTAACCTGTGGCCCATCTGCCACCATCTGTGCCTATAGGCTCTGCCCCCGCCTGCCCTACAATGTGTGCTCTCTAGGGCCCTCAAGAGGGGACCGGGGTTGGCCTCTTTGCCCCACCCCATGCTGGCCAGAGTGTAGGAAGCCATAATGCAGCTGTCAGCACAATACCTGTAACATGATGCTGAAACTCTCCCACCCTCCTCCCCTTCCTTCCCCTTCCCCAGATTTGTGAAGTGTCAAGACTCATCAGGAATCTTGCCTTACAGCCCTCACCCCCCAAATCAGGCATAGCCATAGTCAAGCCGAGCAGGTTTCTTAAGGAGCTGTCTGGGGTGTTGATGACGCTGCTGAACAAGTTTGGTGACTGTTCTAAGCACAACCAGATTGACACTGTTCCCACAGCCCCATCCCCTCCCCCAGTAGGTAGGATGCAAGGAGCCTATATCCTTTGCCCCAAGCGCTGAGGGATGGAGCTGGCTCTGCACAACGCCATCTTCCTTAGAAGACCTAAAGGAAACCAGGCCAGGTGTGGGAAAATCAGCTGAGCCCAGGGCTGGGGGCTGCTTGTCTGCGACCTTTTATAACCAAAATAAAGATTCCCCTCTTCTTGCTGTACCCTTGACTGGTGCCACTTTTTACTTTGGGGTCTGCAGCCGGGTCCATGGTGGTATGCAAGCATGGCTGACCCTCACTCCCAGCTTTGCTCCAACATGTCACCTCTGCTAAGGAGAGTTAAAGGGAACACCACACAACCATGAGGGAAGTGGGAAAGTGGCCTAAAGCCTCTGCACTGTCCCCCCCAGAACTCATCACAATTCCAGAGACCTTGGAGCTTTAGCTGACCTCTGAACTCTGAAAGGCCCAGCCCAGACCAACACAGGGGTTAACTCCAGTCTGTGATCCACACCCCCTGAACTGAGCCCAGCCCAGGGTAACAGTCTCATGAAACCTTCCTCTCCCCAGCTGCCATCCCACATGGAGACACACAGGCATGCACACTGTACCAGGAGCTAAAAACTAATTAACTAAAAACCAGGTGTGGTGGCACAGGCCTGTAATCCCAGCAACTCCAGAGGCTGAGGCAGGAGGAGGATCTCAAGTTCAAGGCCAGCCTCAGCTGCAACTTATCAAGGCCCTATGTCAAAATAAAAAGTAAAATAAGGGCTCTCGGTGGAGCTTTGTGGTAAAGCGCTCCTGGGTTCAATCCTCAGTACCAAAAAGATTAAATAAAAATCTAATTACTGCTGCCATTTAGCAAGGGCTTGCCAAGTTCCAGGTCCATTTTCTCACCTTAACCCAAGAAGATGTCAGCTTTTGTTTTGTTTATCTTTGGAACTAGGGATGGAACCCAGGGATGTTTTACCACTGAGCTACATCCGCAGTCCTTATTTTACTTTTCATTTTGAGACAGGATATCACTAAGTTGCTAAGGCTGGCCTCGAACTTTTCGATCCACCTGCCTCAGCCTTCCAAGTAGTTAGGATTATAGGTGCATACCACCCGCACCCAGCTGATGTCAGCCTTTTTACAGGTGAGGGAATTGAGACTCCAGGAAGGTGCAGGAGCTGCCTAAGGTCATCCAGCTAACAGAGCAGCAAATCCAAGTTTGGAACCTGGTCTCTGCCCCAACTGCTAACCCTTCTGCATACCCCAGGAATGGATGAAATCTTGGAGAAGCCCTAAACTCTGCGGGGGTTTGGAGGTGGTATGGGCCAGCCTCCTTGAACTGATGGGAAAGTTGAAGCCCAGGGGCAGGAACGGACCTGCTAAGGCCTTATAACAGAGCTGGAATGCAGTCCAACACCCTGACCTCATTCCAGTCTCTCTCCATAAATTCCACACTATCTCCTAGACCAGACTGGAGATGTGGGGTACTCTGAGCCATAGCACCTTGAAGAGAATGGCCGAATCACTTAAAAGTAATCTAGGGTCCATTCCTGAAAGCAACTAGTAGAGAGAGCTCTTACCTACATAACTGGACTCTTATTCACAACTAAGCAGGAAGAGAAGGTACTAGAGCCTTCTCTGATCACTTGTTTAGTTTGATCATTTCAAAAACAGAGAAATTTACTTTGAAGGTCTTTCTGGAAGCTAGCCAAAGTCCCCCTAGTTGCAAACAGAAAACCCCATCTCTTTTCTCGGTGAAGATAGATACCAACTGGCTGCTGCTTTCTCTCTAGCACAACTCTTCAAAGCCTATTACTTCAAAGCCAGCTAAGAAAGGACTGGTTGAATATGGGCCTGGGGATGCTCCAGGAGGGTGGGAAGGTGGCAGGCAGAATGAGGAAGGCCCCCCTTGGGCTGCAGCCCCAGCTCCTGTCCTGCTGACTCAGGCAGCTGATGTGGAGCTTTGTGCCCTGCCAGGGCCTGCTGCCTCCTGCCCGCCTGGGCTCCTGGACTTGGGAAATGGAAGCCTGAGGCAAAAGGAGGTAACAGACAGGAACTGAGTCAGGATCAACAGGCCAGAGCTGGCAGGAGGTGTCAGGCAGCCTGACTCCCAGTTTCATCCTGGAGCCTCAACAGAGGAGAAGGGGGATGAGAGGGCTTCCTTTCCTCTGCTTGGGTATGCTGAAGGCATGGAACCTGTGATATGAGCCAGGCCCCCTGGCTGAAGTGGTGGGAAGAAAATTCCTCCTTGATTTAGGAGAAACTCTGAAATTCCTAGGCCTACCAGGCTCCCATTGTCTTGGGATCCCTAGGTTTCCCCCAGGACTTAGGGAAGCCCAGGATCGATGACTAGTGCAAAAGAAGGTCCTTGAGGGCCCAGGGCCTGCTGAGACCAGAGGAGTGGCCTAGATGGAGAGAGGAGGCAGTGCTGAGGGGCTGTGACCATTCACTTTACACCTACAGGACCTGAGGCTTACAGAGGTTGTCACTTGGCCAAGGTTACCACGACTTGTAAGAACTGAACTCAGGCAGTTGATTCTAAAGATACAGGTTACTCTGTCTCATGGAAAACAAGGCATATTAATAAGTTGGAGATGATGGGAAAAAAAAAAAGTCGGGGAGTCTCTCTACCTAAAGACACTCTCTATAAGTGATATTCTAATGTAACTACTTTCCATCATTTTCTGTCAGTGCTCTGATGAGAGCAAAGCCTTCAGGATGTCAGGCCTAAAATCCCTTCTGCTTTCTTTTAAACCCTACAATATTAGCCCACATAAGTCCTTACTTTTTCTTGTGGCAAAGAGGCAGATCTCAACTTCAGTTCTTCAGAGTTCTGGGCCTCCAGTGGGCAAAGAGAGTGCTCAGATACTCAGGGGAGCTGGGGGAGACACAGGCCTGTGAAATGGTCCCAGGTCAAGGATCAAACTAGCTGGATCCCAGAGGGGAGTATCATCTCTGAGCCATTCTGAGCTTTGGGTAGGGCAGGGTAGAAAAGCAGGAAGCCACCCTCATGGGCCCAGAGCCAGCACTCTTAGTTGATTCTTGATGAAACTTGAAGACAGGACACCCCCCCTCTTCAACTAGCAGCGACAGAAGGTTGGCAACAGAGGAATCTCCATCTCTGAGGCCTCTTTCAAGGGGTCAGAGATAGGGCCATGGTCAAAGAGAAGGAACAGGGAAACTTCTGGAAGACAAGTTTGGGGGAGACATCACTCAGCTCAAACTGCCGCCCCATAAAACAAAATGATATGTGTTGTAGCCATCTCCCTTGCCTCAGCCCCGTCTCTCCCCAGGTTGCTAGCGTTCCCCCCCAGGGGGATCAAACTGGACTGAGCACCTTGGTGGCCTGCTTCCCAGCCTCTGACAGAAGGCAGTCTGAGTCAGACAGGAAAATGGGACAGCCAACCAGCTGGGCCCCCACCCTTGGTGAGCCCAGCTGATACATGATAGTAGGCAGCTTCAAGGGGCAGGTGACCTGGCATGGAGAGCCAGAGGGTAAGTCCTCAGACAAGTGGCAACAGGCCACCAACTTGAAAGGGAAAATTGTGCTGTGATGGGGAAGGTGTTGAAGGAACTTACTGGGTGACTAATTACAAAGGCTGGGCTGGAGCGTCAGAGGCCACTTGTTAAACTCTTCATTAAGTGGCAACCTGAAAGCTCCTACCTATGCATTCTAGGAGCTCAGAGGGGACCTTGAGAGAGAATGAGGACCAGGGGATGGAATGATGTTTAGGTAGACTCAGGAAGAAGCCTGGAAGAAAGGTGTTGAGGGAAGCAATATAGGGAGCTGGTAGCTGTGTGACCTTGGGCAGATTTCGCCCCTCTCTGAGACTTAGTGTTCCCATCTCCATGGACCTATGCACATAGACATAATGGGAATTAAGTTAGATCAGGGATTTGAAAGTGCTTGGGAAACTATGATTCTATGGAAACATGAGCTATATAGCCTGAACCAAGGAAGGATCCACATTCTGCTGCTCCTGGCTTGCTGGACTCTGTCTAGGCTGAAGTAGCCAGGTAGCTGAAGCCATTCTTACCCCTAAAAGGGTGCTGGGAAGGAGAATCTGATTGGGGAATCCAGGCCACTTCCTAATGTGGGTACCCTTGCATTGCAACCCTGAACAGCAGGAGGCAGCCTGGAGCCCCCATAGGTGCCTGCCCTGGTGGAGCCCACACCTACTTTTCTCCTGACTGTCCTGATGACTCACACATCCCAGCCCTTTTACCTTTAAGGAAGAGCCGGAAAGGGTGTGGGGAGAAGAGGAGAAGGAGGCAGGTCCTGGGCCCCAGTCCCGCCCCTGCTCCTCCCCACCCTACCCTGGGCCAGGCCACCCAGCCAAAAGGCAGACCGAGAGTCGGAGAGGCACAGAGTCCAGCATTGGTCCCAAGGCAGCCAGTTAACTCGCCGCCAGTCTGTCTGTCCCCAGAGCCATGGAGAGAGCCAGTCTGATCCAGAAGGCCAAGCTGGCAGAGCAGGCTGAACGCTATGAGGACATGGCAGCCTTCATGAAGGGCGCCGTGGAAAAGGGTGAGGAGCTCTCCTGTGAAGAGAGAAACCTGCTCTCTGTGGCCTACAAGAACGTGGTAGGCGGCCAGAGGGCTGCCTGGAGGGTCCTGTCCAGCATCGAGCAGAAGAGCAACGAGGAAGGCTCGGAAGAGAAGGGCCCCGAGGTGCGAGAGTACCGGGAGAAGGTGGAGACCGAGCTCCGGGGTGTGTGCGACACCGTGCTGGGCCTGCTGGACTCCCACCTTATCAAGGAGGCCGGGGAGGCGGAGAGCCGGGTTTTCTACCTGAAGATGAAGGGCGACTACTACCGCTACCTAGCCGAGGTGGCCACTGGTGACGACAAGAAGCGCATCATCGACTCTGCCCGGTCAGCCTACCAGGAGGCCATGGACATCAGCAAGAAGGAGATGCCGCCCACCAACCCCATCCGTCTGGGCCTGGCCCTGAACTTTTCCGTCTTCCACTACGAGATTGCCAACAGCCCCGAGGAAGCCATCACGCTGGCCAAGACCACTTTTGATGAGGCCATGGCTGACCTGCACACCCTCAGCGAGGACTCCTACAAAGACAGCACCCTCATCATGCAGCTGCTGCGAGACAACTTGACCCTCTGGACAGCCGACAACGCCGGGGAAGAGGGTGGGGAGGCTCCTGAGGAGCCCCAGAGCTGAGCCTGCCCCTCACCCACCTGCAGCCCTGCCCTCCAGTCCCCAGCCCTTCAAGAGGACTAGTATGGGGCTGGAGGCCCCGCCTTCCCAGACCCTTCCCAATGCTCTGCCCCAACTCCGAAAGCCTTGGAGGGGAGCAGTGGAGCTGAGCCCACCCTGGGCTGGGGATCCCACTCTGCATGCAGCTGTCAGGTGCTCCTAACGGCAGGTGGTCCCACTCACCCCTGCTCTCTGCACCCCCTTTCCTCCCGTCTCTGCCCCTGACTGGGCTACCCACCCTCCTGCTGTCTATTAGGAATTGAGGAGTGTCCCACCCCTGGTGGCTGAGAATGGACTGTGTGGCAGAGGCTGGAGATGAGAGAGAGAGAGAGAGAGAGAGAGAGAGAGAGAGAGAGAGACTGAGATCGAGAGCGAGAGAGAATGAGGGAAAGCATGTCTGCTGGGTGTGACCCTGTTTCCTCTCAATAAAGTTCCTGTGACACTCCTTCTGTCTTTTCCAGTCATTGGCCATGGGCTGGGAGAGGGAATGACTTTGGACTTCTGGATTGGGGCCTGACCTCCCCTGGGGCTGGCTCCCCGTGGGGCTGGTGAATACAGGTGAGAGGCGGGGGTCCAGCTCTCTCTGACAGAGGGGCCCCAGACTGGTCCGGTCCTGGGAGAGTCAGGTGAGAGCTACTGAGGCTCTGAGGCTCCTCTGCCCGGCTGAGAAGATGAATGGGTGCTGCGGGGCAGGGGAAAGAAAAGCTCGGATCTGGGGGAGCCGGAAACCAGTGAGGTCTCAGGTGCGAGGTGTGAGGACAGCGCCGCAGGGATATGCTTCATTGAGTGGCACTAAGTACCCCAGACAAGAAAGCGGCAAACAGTTCCATCAAATGCTCAGATCTGAGCCAAGGGGTGCACGATCTGAGGCATTAAAAACCTAGACCTAAGAAGGGAACGACCCCCACCCCAGCGTATGGAGATGGGGACAAAAGGAGACGCGCGGGCGGGGAGCAGGCGCTACTTGGGTAGGAAGGGCCGCGGGCAGCCCGGCCAGCCTAACCCCGGCCTCCTACCCGAGCAGGTAACAACATGCCGCGCTCCGCGGCAGCGGAGCTCCGACCCTCGGTCCCGGCCGGAGACTGGAGGCGGGGCCTGGGGTCGCTCCCACCAATCGCAGGAGGGATCTATCCATGGTACCGCCCCCGGGACGCGCCTGGCCAACCCGGGAGTGAGCCGCAGCGCACTTGCAGCAAGTGCTGCAGCCGCGGATCCTGCTCCGCAGACGCTGGACGAACTGACTGACGGAGCGACTTCCCAGCCGCCCGCCAAGCGCCCAGGGCGGCGCTTTCCCGGTTTCACTCAGACAAGTTACTACCCGCCTGGGCCGAGAGCTCGGCTTCCTCAGAGCAGCGGGACCGGGCGAGGCCGTGCGCAAAACGTAGTCCCCGCCCTTTGAGTCATCCGCTCACCTGGCGGTGCCTGGGCCAGGCTGGGTAGCAGGGTGGGCTGGAACAAATCACCTGGTCCCTCCCACTACACTGGAGAGGCATCTCTGAACCGGTCGCCTAGAGACTTGCATTCTGCTCTGATTGCCACTTTGGAAAAGGCAGTATACTTATGTGGGCCTCAGTTTCCCTTCTGTACCATAAGAGGCTTGAACTAAAGGCTCTCCACACGATAAAAGTGAAAACGTGGGCTTCTGGAGTGAAACTGCCTGGGTTTGGTTCCCATCTCGCCTTGCCCAAGCCTGGTGACCTTGTTTGCCTTTTGGCCCTCATTGGCCCTCTCTGGAGGCTGAATCAGAAAGATAGCAAGTTCAAAGCCAGCCTCAGCAATGGTGAGGCACTTAGCAACTCAGTGAGAGGCTGACTCTAAATAAAATACAAAATGGGACTGGGGATGTGCTCAGTGGTTGAGTGCCCCTGAGTTCAATCCCTGGTACAAAACAAAAAAACAAAAACAGTACTTTCCTCTTAGAGTTGCTGTGAAGTTTGAGAAAAGAAATGCATGTAAATAGCTCAGGGTATGTGCTCAACAAATGTTAGCTATTAATCCTTCTAGAATAAATGAATCTAGGGTTTCCTCCAGCATTCTGGACCCAAAGCAGAATAATCATCCAGGACCAGCACTGAAGAGCAGTTTTAATCCAAAACTGACTGCTTGCTTGCTTGTTTGCTGGGTCCCCCAGAAAGGCAGGCCTGACAGCAGGCTTCACTCCTCCACCTGGCAGAATGAGGGAACTCAGTCCAGCCTCATCAAGTTCCCCAGAGTCCAAATTTGGCCACATTCATGGGACTTAAAACTGAAGGGCTCTTGTCACAGTTCCTAATCCTACAGGGGATGCTTCAGGACATTCTGATGCCTTTTGGATTCCCTATTATCTCCCCTCCTTTCCTGGTGGTGTGTTGGGTTTCAAGGTTCCAAAACTGACAGACACTCTGTGCTAGGGCAGGTGACTCCTCTCAGCTCTGGAGGTGACCTGATTTCTCTGATCAGACAGGTCTGGTGACTTTCTCTTAATGGGGTAGGTCCTGGGAAAGGAACTCTTTCTTCTTTTCTCTCCACCTCTGACTTTTGCCTCTTGTTTCCTGACCACTCATGGGAAGAGATGATGCTGGGCGCAGTGGAGCACACCTGTAATCCCAGCAGCTCTGGTCCAAAAAAAAAAGAAAGAAAGAAAGAAAAGAAAAAAGAAATGAGAAAAGAGCTGTCCTAAGGTTGTGTGTTGCTGTTGAAGAATTTCAAAAGCAGATGCTGTGGATTACCATATCAGACACTTATGGCTACATACTACTTGGTTGAGGTACTGTAATGATGTCAGACCTTTTTGTCTGTGACATATTTAAACACCACCAAAACCCTAATCAAACCAAAAGTAAGATTTACTGCCTTCTTTTCCTGGTCTATGTTTGACATTTTGAAAGTTTCAAGTCAGGCATAATGGCACATGCCTGAAATCCCAGCCATTTAGGAGGTTGAAGCAAGAGGATCACAAGTTTAAGACTAACCTCAGCAATTTAGCAAAGCTCTTATGCCTTAGAGAGACCCTGTTTTAAAATTTAAAAAAATAAAAAGGGCTGGGGATGTAGCTTAATGGTAAAGCACCCCTGGGTTTGACTCCTGGTACCAATAAATAAATAAATAAAAATTTTGGTCCCACTGCTAATAGGTACAGGGTGGTTTTTGTTTGGTTTGGTACTGGGGATTGATCCCTAGGGTGCTTTATCACTGAGCTGTTTTGTTTGGCGTGTGTGGTTCTAAAAATAAACTTAGTTTCTTTTGACAAGTGGCTCCTGATTGTGCCCAGCCAGACTGCGGCAATGAACCCAGACCTTTTTATTTTTATTTATTTTTATATTTATTTATTTATTTTTTTTTTTTAAGTTTTCGGCAGGCACAACATCTTTGTTTGTATGTGGTGCTGAGGATGGAACCCGGGCCGCACGCATGCCAGGCAAGCGCGCTACCGCTTGAGCCACATCCCCAGCCCTACTTTTATTTTTAGATTTTTGAGACCAGATCTCACTAGGTTGCTTAGGGCCTCACTAAATTACTGAGGGTGATCTGGAACTTGTGATCCTCCTACTGCCCCAGCCTCCTGAGTGGCAACGATTACAGGCATGCACCACTGTGCCCAGCAATACAGGG